ACCTATCTACAGTGTAAGATCACTTATATTTTGAATCTGGGTTTTACATTTGAATCTGTCATTTTACCCTTCTTTTCATGGAGCACACTGTTTAGCAATTTTATGAAAAAGTGGGAGTGTGGGGTATAATTTTGAGACCATACATATCTGAAAATGTCTTTATTCTAATCTCATAGTACAGCAATGATTTGCCTGGATAGAGAGTCTAGGTTGAGATTCATTTTATCAGAATTTTAAAGGCAAGTCTCTGTTGTTTTCTGTGTTATGAAAAACCCCTATGCCTTTTATTGTGCTACCCATATATGTTTTTTTATCTTTAGAAATTTCTAGGATCTTCTCTATATTCCTGGTGTCTGAAGTTTTTATGAGATATACTGGGAGTATGTCTTTTAAGAAAAATCATTGTCTCAGGGACTTAGGGCAATTTGTCTTTCAATTGTGAAATTTTGAGACAAGGACTTACTCTGTTGCCCAGGCTGGAATGCATTAGGGTGATCCTAGCTCACTGTAGCCTGGAACCTCTGGGCTCAGGCAATCCTCCTGCCTCAGCCCCGGTAAGTAGCTGGGACTAAATGTGCCTGCCACCACGCCCAGCTAATTTTTTGTAGAGATGGAGGTTTCAGCATGTTGCCCAAGTTGGTCTCAAACTCTAGGGTCAAACAATCCACTCACCTTGGCCTCCTAAAGTGCTGGGATTACCAGTGTGAGCCACCATGCCTGACCTGGAAATTTAATTTTTGGGTAATTTTCCTTCATCCCTTTTCTCTCTATTTTAAGACAGGATCTCACTCTATCACCCAGGCTGGGGTGCAGTGGTGCGATTAGAGCTCACTTCAACTCCTGGGATCAAGATGTCCTCCCGTGTCAGCCCTCAGAGTAGCTGGGACTACAGGTCCCATGCCATTACGCTGGGCTTCTCTGTTATTTTTTTATAGAATACATATCAATTGCATTTTTGACCTTCAGATAGATCCTCTTCTGTTTTTAAAAGGTTTGTCTGTTTTTCTTTCTTTCTTTTTTTGAGTTCTTATTGTTTTTGATGTCTGCATGTTTTTTTGAGACAGGGTCTCGCTCTGTCTCCCAGGTTGGAGTGCAGTGGCGCAATATTGGCTCACTGTAGCCTCTCCCACTAGGGCTCAGTTGATCCTCCTCCCTCAGCCTCCTGAGTAGCTGGGACTACAAGTGTGCACCACCATGCCCAGTTAATTTTTGTATTTTTTTGTAGAGACCAGTTTTCATCATGTTGGCGGGGCTGGTCTCAAGCTCCTGGGCTCAAGCAATCTGTCTGCCTTGGTTGCCAAAGTGCTGGATTATAGGCATGAGCCATGGCACCTGGCGTGTTTGTGTGTGTGTGTGTGTGTGTGTGTGTGTGTGTGTGTGTTTAATCGTCATTTCTTTAACTTTTAAGCTCTCTGTCTTATTTTTCGAATGTTCCTTCTACTCTTGTTTGCTGGATTGTCATCTCATATGTTAATGTCTGAGAATATTAACTGTGATTTTTGTTCTTAAAGTTTTCTTCTGTATGTTCTGGTTTACTATCAGTTGCTTATTTTCTTCCTGTTTTGGTTTCTGTCTTTTATGGTGAAGGCTTTCATCATGTTTGGTAATATTGTGTTGTATATTTAGCAAAAAGTTAACAGAAAGAAATGTTTATAGAAAAATGTTGTAAATACAGCTGTAACCTGCATTTAAGGTTTGGGCTTGTCAACTAGTAGGATGTCAACCAGTAGGGTGATTGGGTAAGGGCCTGTCCTTTTTGTAGGGAACCCTCAAAAACTTATATATCTTTTCTTAGGTGTTGTTCAGTTTTTTTTTTTTTTTTTTTTTTGAGACGGAGTTTTCGCTCTTGTTACCCAGGCTGGAGTGCAATGGTGCAATCTTGGCTCACTGCAACCTCCCCCTCTGGGTTCAGGCAATTCTGCCTCAGCCTCCTAAGTAGCTGGCATTACAGGCACACGCCATCGTGCCCAGCTAATTTTTTGTATTTTTAGTAGAGACGGGATTTCACCATGTTGACCAGGATGGTCTCGATCTGTTGACCTCGTGATCCACCCACCTCGACCTCCCAAAGTGCCTGGATTACAGGCGTGAGCCACCGTGCCCAGCCCAGTTTTTGCAGATATTCAAGAATCCTCTAATTGCCATTGTAGGAGATATGCTTGACTTTAGAATTCTTGGATGCAAGCACACAGAGGGCTATTACTTTTACCGTTTGATTATAGACTTTAACTTAACTTAATCCCTTTAACTTTTAGTTTGGGATCTCTGCCTTTTTTAACTTTGTCCTTGGACCTGGTGCTTCTTTGATTCACTTTTCCCCAAAAATAAACCTCTCTTACGGGGATTGAGGAAGAATATCACTTGGCTGGATAGAATGGAGGAACTCAGGAATACTACATAAATTCAATCAATTTCTTTGTTTTTAGCCTTGTGCCTCATTGTGCCTGCTCTGGTATCTGGTGTCTTAAATTCCTAATACTTTCTGATTTTTGCTATGTGAATTTGCTTTTCTCTTGTTGGAATTCTCTACGGTTGCCTGATAATAAACTTTCTTAGCTCTGATCCTCCATGTGTTTTTCATTTGCCAAAAGTTTGTTGACATATCTTATCTACTGTTTTTGTTGTTTTCTAGCCTCTGTACTTCCAAATTTATACTTCTTAATGTCTTTAATCTTACGTTGGTATTTTTTTAAACAAGATAATAAGATAGTAAAAAGTCATCTTAAATGGTTATTTGTGTGTAAAGGACATTCTTAAATGATTAAAGGTAAAATTACAAGAAAGGAATTAAAAGCCAAGAAATAAAAAAAATTAATTGTTATCACTTAATTTTGTACATATTTCTTAACATGGATATAAATATATATATGTATGTGTGTGTATATTACACACACATACATATGTGGATATCATATAATGGGTATGTGTATATAATTTATGTATAAATAGATATTTACATACATGTGTTTGAATATATATGTGTGTACAGATATACCTTATGTATGTCTGTATTATGTTTGTAATACATACATGTTTGTATTATGTTTGTAATACATACATGTTTGTATTTACATATATAGATACATATACATATGTATACTTTCATAATCATATTCTTCATTTTTTTTAAATGAGGAAACTGGCTTAGATGTGTTAGTGATTTACTGATAGTTTCAAAACCAAGTCTTCCCAGTGTTTTGCTAAACTGTAAAAATCTTAGACATGTGAACAACTTGGAGGTTCAGAGCTATATTTAAAATCCTTAATTCTGGCTCTGGGTAAATAGCTTCAAGTTTTGATTTGAATTGTAATAGATTTTTTTCAACTGGTATGGCATTGGAATCAGGGAGGGGCTGGCTCACCTGATGCTTCTGAAAGCAAAGCAGTAATTTAACATATGAGTTGGCACAAAAGTAATTGTGGCTTTTGCCATTACATTCAATGTAATATATTTATTAGTACTAAATACATTAATATAGAAATATATTTAATACTAATTAATATTAATTATAATAACACAATGATTAATATTAAATGTATTAATACATATTAATTAAAATGTCTTTATATTAATATATTTAGTAATAATATGTTACATTAAAAGTAATGGCAAAAACTGTAATTACTTTTGTACCAACATAATACTTTGTTTATAATGATGGTATTTAACTTATTTTGAATAAATATTAAAGATGATGTGAACTTTTATTTATCTGATCTAAGTGATTACAGTGAATCTTGTTTTTATATGACTTTGAAAGATAATAACTATTTTAATAAAAAATTATTGCATATGAGAATCTAAAGTTTAAAGTAAAACAACTAAGTCTCATCAGCTAAGTTAATTCCTAAATATACAAAGCTTAGGTTCTATTATTTTTCCTCATTGTACACTAAATGTCCATGTTACCATAACTATATATAAATAGTTTGAAAAAATTATATTTTATTCATCATTTAAATATTAATTTTCATAAGTACATTTAAAAAATTATCTCAGTGGATACCATTATAATAAGGCTATGATGAATGTTTTCATGAATATATTTTTTAGACTTTTTTTAGATACATTTGTAGAAGTAGGATTTCTCTGTCAAAAAAGCATCAACATTTTTAGATTATTATCACTCAATTGTGTACATATTTCTTAACATGGATATATATATGTGTGTGTACAATATACACACATATGTAAATATCTTATATATAATATATATTATATGCATAATGGATATCTATTGTATATATTTAATTTAAATTATTGTTTTATTGCTTTCTAAAAAGATTATTCTACCACTTTATATAGGTACTAGCAATGTGTGAAGAGCTGAGTGATTTCACAATAACCTCATTAACTTTAGTACTTTATATTTTCTCCCCTAAGTTTCACAAGTGAAATGATTATAGTTCATTGTTTTAGTGTGCCTTTGTTGATGATTAATGAGGTTTTATCTGTTTAAAAATGTAGAATTTTCTGTTAGAAAAATGCAACTCTAAGATAGTAAAATATCAAGAGAATGTGAGAGTAAAGGAATAGTTGGTTGATTGCTAAAGAATATGTCATATAATTAATGAGAAATGTAACTTAAAATATTAGATAATTGTTATAAAGACCTGTTCACATGTCTTGTCAAGAAGCCAGGCACATAAACAATTTTACTTTAAGCCTTTTAAAAATTTTACAGAGTTTTATAAAAAGTAATAAATTGAGGCAAGAAACAGTGGCTCATGCCTGTAGTCCCAGCACTTTGGAAGGCCTGCAGGAGGATCACTGGAGCCCAGGACTTCCAGGTTACAGTGAGCTATGATTGTACCACTGCACTCCAGCCTGGGATACAGAGGGAGAGACCTCTTTTTATTTTATTTTATTTCATTTATTTATTTTCTTTTCGTCTCTAAAAGAAAATACATAAATGAAATAAAATAAAAAATTAATTCATTGCATTTCATCCATTCTGCCACCATGTTAGAAATAATATTCTTCTAATTTAAGCTTATAGAAATGGGACGTCGGTCATCAGATACTGAAGAAGAAAGCAGAAGCAAGAGAAAAAAGAAACACCGTAGGCGGTCCTCCTCGAGCAGTTCTTCAGATAGTAGAACATACAGCCGAAAGAAAGGAGGAAGGAAATCAAGATCAAAGTCAAGATCTTGGTCCAGAGATCTTCAGCCTCGCTCACATTCTTATGATAGAAGGTGATTTTCATAATTGTTATTTATATAGTAATGAGGATAACATTTTTTAACATTTATGTTTTTGTATTTTTAATTTTGCTAGATAAAAACATTTTTCTTTTACTAGCTATATATTTATGAAAGTTAAGTCCCAACCCAGAGTTTTTTTATTCCTACCAGGTCCAGTCCATGGGTCTAGTGTCTTCAACCTTTCTTTATTCTTAGTAGGCAAATAATTATAAGCTGGTGTAGTTTTCTTTTTAAATTTAATTTTTTTTAGAGACAAGATCTTGCTGTCACTCAGGCTGGAATGCAATGGTGCAGTCGTAACTCTTGGACTCAAGGGATCCTCCCACCTCAGCTTCCTGAATAGCTGGAACTATAGTTACGTGCCACCATGCCTGGCTAAGTTTTTTATTTTTATCTTTTACAGACTGGGTTTTGCTGTGTTGCTCAAGCAGGTATTGAATTCCTGGCCTCAAGTGATTCTCCTGCCTTGTCCTCCCAACGTGTTGGGATTATAGGCATGAGCTATTGAGCCTAGCCTTCGTTTAGTTTTCATACTATGTAATCTGATGATATTTGGAAAGATTCTAAGACCCATAATACCTTAATTAGTAGCTGATCCAATCACTAAGTTATGTATCAGTCATCTGACTGTTCAAGATAAATAACATTTTAAATTATCTTTATTTGCTTCTGGAAAGAGTGAGACAGTAAAAATGAGATTATTCTTTAGCATCTAGAAGGTTTTCCCTTAATGCTTGTAATAAAAATTTTTATAGCAATTATCTTTGATTATATTTTATTTCAGACGCAGGCATCGATCAAGCAGTAGCTCTTCTTATGGCTCTAGAAGGAAACGAAGTCGAAGTCGTTCAAGGGGTCGAGGGAAATCCTATAGAGTTCAGAGGTCTAGGTCAAAAAGCAGAACAAGAAGGTATGCATTATTAAGTATTTATTGCTTTGTAACAAATTATTCCCAAATTGTAATGCAACAATCATTTATTTTCTCATGATAACATAATTTTGACTGAGCTTAACTGGTACTTATTTTTTCTCACCTGGGGTCACTTTTGCAGTTGTAGTCATCTGATAGCTTGATAAGTTGTAGTCATCTGATAGCTTGGATGATCCAGTGTGGCCTCACTCATATATCTTGCATTTGGTTCTGGCTGTTCGCTGGTGTGTACGTGGTTTCTCATTGTCCAGTAGGCTACATTGGGTTTTTTTTTTGGCCCGGTGGTGGTAGCATGTGTGTTCCCCAGACATGAGTTTACTAGAATTTGTTAAGGATTTTTGCATCAGTATTCATCATGGATTTTTGGCTTGTAATTTTCTCATAATATATTTGTCTGGCTTTGGTATCAGAGTAATGCTGACCTCATAAAATGAGTTTGGAAGTGCTCCCTCCTTTTCAGTTTCTTGGAAGATATTGAAAAGGATTGACATTAATTCCTTTTTTTTAAAAATTGTACTTTAAGTTCTGGGGTACATGTGCAGATTGTGCAGGATTGTTGCATAGGTACACATATGGCAATATGGTTTGCTGCCTCCATCCCCCTATCACCTACATCTGGCATTTCTCCCTATGTTATCTCTCCCCAACTTCCCCACCACCCTGCTGTCCCTCCCTTGGCCCCCCACAACAGACCCCAGTGTGTGATGCTCACCTCCTTGTGTCCATGTGTTCTCATCGTTCATCATCTGCCTATGAGTGAGAACATGTGGTGTTTGATTTTCTGTTCTTGTGTCAGTTTGCTGAGAATGATGGTTTCCAGATTCATCTGTGTCCCTACAAAGGACACGAACTCATTTTTTATGGCTGCATAGTATTCCATGGTGTATATGTGTCACATTTTCCTTGTCCAGTCTATGGTCGATGGGCATTTGGGTTGGTTCCAGGTCTTTGCTGTTGTAAACAGTGTTGCTATGAACACTGTTCATTGTAACAATGATTTATAATCCTTTGGATATATACCCAATAATGGGATTGCTAGGTCAAATGGAATTTCTTTTTAAATGTTTGGTGGAATTCTGCAGTGAAGCTGTCTGCTCCTGGGCTTGTCTTTGTTAGAAGGTTTTTGCTTACTGATTCAATCCCCTTATTAATTATAGGTCTGTTAAGATTTTCTTTTTCTTCATGATTCAGTCTTGATAGGTGCTATGTTTCTAGGAATTCATCCATTTCTTCTAGGTTATCCAGTTTATTAGCGTTCTTAGTAGTCTTTTCTAATCTTATTGATTTTTGTGGCATCAATTTTAATGTCTGCTATTTCATTTCTGATTTTAGTTATTAAGCTTCTGGTATTTTTTTCTTCTTTTTCTCTTTTTTGGTTTAAAAATGTTGCTCTGTTACCCAGGCTTGGGTGTACTGGTGCAGTCAGCTCTCTGCAGCCTCAAACTGCTCTTGCCTCACTTTCCTAAGTGACTAGGACTATAAGCATACGCCACCAGGCCTGGCTGATTTTTTAAAATATATTTTGTAGAGGTCAGTCTCACCATATTGCCCAGGCTAGTCTCCAACTCCTGGCCTCAACTGGTCGTCCTACCTTGTTCTCCCAAAGTACTGAGATTATAGGTACGAGCTAGCTTGCTTGGCCTCATTTTTTCTTAATCCAGCTAAGTTCTTGTTAATTTTGTGTTGTTTTTTCAAAAAACTCTTAGTTTTATTGATTTTTTTTCCTGAAGTTTTTCTCTTTTTGTATTCTCTATTTCATTTATTTTTTTCTGAAATCATTTTTATTTTCTTCCTTTGGCTAATTTTTGGTTTAATTTGTTCTTCTTTAGTTCCTTGAACCATAAAGTTAGATCGATATGAGATTTTTCTTTATTTCTTAAATGTAGGTGTTCATGGTAAACTTTACTCTCAATATTGCTTTTGCTGTTTTTCTTAAGTTTTACCATGTGTGTTTGTGTTTTCATTTGTCTAAAAGCTATTTTCTAATTTCTCTTATGATTTCTTCTTTGATATATTTGGTTGTTCAAGAGTGTGCAATTTCTGCATATTTGTGGATTTTCTGATTTTCCTACTGCTATTAATTTCTAGTTTCAGTTCTTTCTGTTTTGAAAAGATACTTGCTATGATTTCAGTCTTATTAAATTTGTTAAGACTTGTTTTGTGGCCTAACATGAAATCTGTCCTGGAGAATGTTCCATGTATGCTTGAGAAGAATACATATTTTGCTGCTGTTATGTGGAGTATTCTGTGTATGTTTGTTAGGTCTAATTCACCTGTAGTGTTGTTCAAGTCCTCTTATCTGATGTCTTACTTTTCAATCCATATTGAAAGTGGAGTAGTGAAATACCCTATTGTTACTGTGTTGCTAAATATTTCTCTCTTCCATTTTGGCAATGTTTGCTTTATATATTTGGGTGCTCTGGTGGTAGGTGCATATATTTATTTATAATTGTTATATGTTCCAGAATAATGACCCATTTATCATTATATAATTATCTTTTTCTCTTGTGACAGTCTTTAAGTCTATTTTGTCTGATATAAGTATGGCTACTTCTCTTTGTTGGTACCATTTGCATGGATTATCTTTTTCCATCTTTTTTAGTATATGTGTGTGTTTACATCTAAGGCACATCTTTCATAAACAGCATACACTGTAATTGTATCTTGTGTGTATGAGTGTGGGTTTTGAAAAATCCATTCAGCTACTCTGTGTGTTTTGTTTGGGGAGTTTAATCCAGTTACATTTACAGTAATTACCCATGGGGAAGGACTTACAGTTTCCGTTTTGTTCATCGTTTTCTGCCTTGTAGCTATTTCGTCTTGTGTCTCCTGCCGCTTTCCTTTTTGTTTTATTGATTTTTGTATTGACATGCTTTGATTTTTTTTTCTCATTTTATTTTGTATATGTTCTATAGGTATTTTCTTTGTGGTTGCCATGAGGCTTACATACAACATTATCTATTTTAAGTTGATAATAACCTTTGATTGTATACAAAAATACTACTCTTGTATATTTCTCCACTCCTATTTTATGTTATTGAGATCACAGTTTATATCTTATTGTATCCATTAATATAGTTTATAGTTACTGTTATTTTTTATGCTGTTGTCTTTTCAATTCTGTATATGAATTTAAAATGTTTTATATTACACCATTACAGTGTTACTGTACTCTGTACTTGTGTATATATTTACCTTTACCAGTGAGCTTTATGTTTTTCTGTACTTTTGTGTTGCTATCTAGTGTTGTGTTATTTCCACTTGCAGGACTCCTTTTAGTATTTCTTGTAAGGCAGGTCTGGTAGTGAAGAACTCCCTTAGCTTTTGTTTATCTGGGAAAGATTTGATTTGTCTTTTGTTATTGTAGAACAATTTTGCTGGATATAGTGTTCTTAACTGACAGTTTTTTATTTGTTTGTTTGTTTTTTAGCACTTTGGATATATCACTCAATTCCTTTCCGGCTTGTAATGTTTTCACTGCAAAATTGCTGAAATCTTATGAAAACTCCCTTGTATATGGTTTGCTTAATGATATCTTATAGACCCTTCTGTTTCCTTCACTTTTGTTTGTTCTTTTTCCTTTTTGCTTTCCTGACTCAATAATTTTAAATTGACCTTTCTTTATGTTTTCTGATTTTGTTCTTCTGCTTGACTACATTTGGTATTGAACTTCTCTAGTGAATTTTTCAATTCAGTTATTGTATTATTTTGTGCTAGCATTTTTGCTTTTTTTTTTAAATATAATTTATATCTTTGTTGGTAGTCTTGTTTTTGTTTATACTTCATTTTCTTGACTTTGTTTAGTTGTCTGTCTGTGTTCTTTTTTGAATCACTGAATTTTAAGACAACTATTTTAATTTCTTTGTCAGATAATTTACAGATCTCAGTTTCTTTGAGGTTGGTTTCTGGGAATTATTTGTTCCTTTGCTTGGGATAGGTTTCCTTCTTTCTTTGGCTGCCTTGTGATTATTATTATTATTTGGCTGAGGTTTATGCAGCTTAAAAAAACAGCTGCCTTTCCTGTCTTTATGGACTGGCTTCTTATGGGGAAAGTCCTTCACCAATCAACCTTTTTCAATGTATGCCAGTTCCCTCTTCAGCACCCTTTAGCAGGTGAGAGGTATCATTCCCTCTGGTAGCTCTCCAAAATGCCTGAATATTTGAAGCATGTACTTCACTCTTCTCTCTTACTTCTGACGAAGAAACAACAAGTTGGATGTCTTTTCCCAATGGTGCTGAGTCATCCCAGTCTCTGTCTTTGGTACTGCTGGCTCTGTGGTGCTACAGCAATCTGTTTCTGTTCTCTTTTGCTTTTGTTGGCACCCAGAAATCTAACCTATGCTGTTTCCATTAGTGTTCCAGGCAAGACAGAAATGCATCCCTTGGATAGCCCTCAGAAAAGTCAGAATGTTAACATTCCATGTTTCTTTTTTCCTCATCCCTTACCCCAAAAGCTATGAGCTGAGCTAGAGGGGCAGGCAAAGGAAAATGGTTCTTCTTACCTGTTTCACTGAGGCTGTACTTGGCTTTGAGCTTGCCTGGAAGACTGTAACTTCTTAACTGTTTTTTTAAGTTCTATACAGGTATTTGGTTTGTATATTATTGTTTTATCAGTGTCTTTCTGGTGGAATGAGGGCTGGGACTTCCTATTCTGTCATCTTGCCATCATCATTCTCAAATTAACTTTTTTTTTGTTTCTTACAGGCTTTTTCTAACTTTTATTTTAAACTAATTTTAGACTAACAGAAAAATTGTAAAAAAATAATACAAAATTTTGGCCGGGCGTGGTGGCTCAAGCCTGTAATCCCAGCACTTTGGGAGGCCGAGGCGGGTGGATCACGAGGTCAAGAGATCGAGACCATTCTGGTCAACATGGTGAAATCCCGTCTCTAGTAAAAATACAAAAAATTATCTGGGCACGGTGGCACGTGCCTGTAATCCCAGCTGCTCAGGAGGCTGAGGCAGGAGAATTGCCTGAA